GTCGGAGGCCAGGAAGTCGGAGAACTCCTGTGCCAGGCTGTCGTCGCTGGCGAAGGCGCAGATGCAGGCCAGGAAGTGGATACAGCGCGGCGGGGGCGACTCTTCCTCCTCCTCCTCTTCCTCCTCATCCTCCTCCTCGTCGCCATCGTCCCCTTTGGTGCGGCCGCGGCCGGGAGCGCGGCAGGCGCAGGAGAAGCGGCGCTGGCCGAAGCAGGCGTGCAGGTAGCCCAGGCTGTGCCTCTGGCTGGCCTTGCACTTGACCACCAGCACGCTCTTGGTGACCCTCTGCACCAGCGGCCCCGTGGGCTCGGTGGCCAGCTCCCACAGGCTCTGCTTGGCCTCGGCCGGCGCCTGCACCGCGCCCAGCACCGAGCTCTTGAGCGGCAGCGGCGTGGCCTCGGCCTGGCAGCCCAACGCCAGCTTCAGGTGCTGGCACTGCCGCTCACCCAGCGCCGCCTTGGCACACGCCGGCGCGTGGCAGCGGCCGGAGCTCAGCGCGGTGACCGCGGCGCCCTCGGGGACGCCGTCGGCCGCCTCGGGGACGCCCAGCTCCACGAAGCAGCGCGAGTCGCGCTGGCGCACCGAGTAGAGCTGGCCGTGGCGGCCGCTGAGCACGCGCACGGCGTCGGCGCCCGGCTGGCGGCGCGCGCCCGCCCGGAACACCGTGCCRCACGTCTTGTTCTTGCAGCTCAGCCCCCGCGTGCCGTTGTAGGTGCCGCAGCGCGGGCACTTGCGGATGCCACGCAGAGTGGCCTTGCCAAGGTCCGACAGGAAGGACGGCGGCGCCTTGGGCCGGCCCGGAGAGGGATCCATGGAGCTGGAGAGGGGAGAGATGGGGAGAGGGGATTGCTGGTCACACGGGCATCCTGGGTCAGCCCAATGGCCACCCTGACAGTCCTTGTGCCACCCTGGCAGTCACCGTGCCACCCCAATGGTCACCCTGACAGTCCTTGTGTCACCCTGACAGTCACTGTGCCACCCCAATGGCCACACTGACAGTCCTTGCACCACCTAAAAGGTCCTGAACCACCCCAATGGCCAC